TCTAAACAGAACTATGGTATCGTGACTTGGGGGGGCCAACTTCACACACATGCACCCACGTGCTTACCAGCACACCGTACCCGGATACACACGGGGTGGAGCGCTCTCCGCCTCGACCGAGAATTCTCGGGCCCGGGCACAGCACCTGACCGTATATCGGACCCGGCTCACAGAGACTAGGAAGTGGAGTGTACTCCGCTTCCGCCGAGCTTTCTCGGCACCCGCCGCAGCCAGCCGATTCCCGCCACGGCACCGCGCCGCCCGCGACCGATTCCTGCGCCGCGAATACCCAAGCCTCCACTTCACGAGGCCGCCCGGGCATCCGCGCCCCGCGATACCGCGTCACCGTCATCATCCGTCATTAACCATCGCATTTCTCATTTCATCACGCATCGCACCGCATTGTACACACCATCGCATCCCGCGTCGTTACGTCCCGTCCGTCCGTCCGTCCGTTCCGCGACCGCGTAATTAGGATAAGTTGTACATAGAGTGTATCTACGTCTTTTGGTCAAATATATCTATTATTATTCTTTTACCGTAATTCTTGTGTCGAGTGCTTTCACCTAATCCCTCGAACCCTGTCACCGGCGAGCAGAGTCCGCGGGGAAATCGATTAGGCAATCGTTTCAAGACATCTTTTAGATCCCTAAAAGACATCTTTTCGGAAAAAATGCAAGACATCTCAAGACATGACAAGATATCTTTTAGAAGTCTAAAATACATCTTTTTGTCTATATGGGTTGTGTCCGTCTGTAGGACGAATTGCCGGTCGAAATCTGGACAAGCTAGTACGGGGGCGGTAGTGAGTGTTTCCCGTAACGTTTTGAATGCTTGTTCTTCGGCCTCCCCTCAATTCTAGCGGGCGTTTTTCCGCGCGATGGCGGTCAATGGCGCGGCAATGGTCGCGAAGTCGCGTATAAACCGGCGGTACCACGAGGCTACCCCCAAAAATTGACGGATTTGGCGTACGGATTGCGGTGTCGGTCATTGCGTTATAGCTTCTATTTTTTCGGGGTCGGTTTGGATTCCCTCTCGGTCGATGATGTGCCCGAGGTACCGTATGCGGTTAACGCAGAACCGACATTTTTCGGGGTTGAGTCGGAATCACGCGTCGCGTAATCGGCGGAACACTTCGGCCAGTGTTTTTACGTGTTCTTTGAACGTTCGATTGCACACAATAATGTCGTCGAGATAGACGAAAACGTTCGGCTCTAATTCAGGTCCCAGCACGGAGTCGAGGAGGCGTTGAAATGTGGCGGGCGCGGAGTGTAACCCGAAGGGCAAGACTCGGAACTGCATCAGTCCCCTTCCGGGTATGGTGAACGCTGTGATCGGTCGGCTGTCCTCGGTCAGTGGTACCTGCCAGTAACCATTCTTGAGGTCCAGAGTGGAAAGGTACTGGGCCCCCCTCAATTTATCTAATGTGGCGGCTATCTGCGGGAGTGGATATGCGTCCTTTTCCGTGACCTCATTAACTTTGCGGAAATCGATGCAGAAACGCGGCTTTCCGTCCTTCTTTTTTACTATGACGATCGGGGAACTCCAGGCGCTATGTGACGGCTCGATGACTCCTTCGCGTTCCATCTTCTCGATCTCCTCGTTGATTATTGCTTGCATCGCGGGGTTGCGCGGTCGATACCTTTGTTTAATTGGCCTGCTGGTGGTCGGCCGTATCTCGTGGCAGATATTCGGCGTGGGTCCCTGGACCCCTTCGAATTTGGCGAGTTCCTCCTGTAGAAAAGCTTGCAGCCTGTCGTTCTCCGTTGTCGTCGTCCGGTTGGCTCCGAGGTCATATCGGTCGTGGTTTCTTGAGGCCTTTCGGCGCGGTGGTGGTGGTATTGGTATCTGTAATTCTGCCCATAAGTCCACGCCGGCCAGCATCTCGCCGTCGAGCGTGGGCATCACGCGGAACTCGTGTGTCCACGTACGTGTCGTGATTTGTATGGGGCAACGGACCACGCCGTAAGTTCCGGTATTGCTGCCGTCTGCCAGGAACACTTGCCCGTCCCGTGGTTGTATGGTGTATCCCATAGCCTGCAGGCGGTCGGCGGTCTCAGCGCTTATAAACGATGATTCTGCTCCTGTGTCTAGTAGCGTGTTGAATTTATGGTCGTGGATTCGAACGGTGATGTGCGGGCGGGGCAAGTACTTTACGTGGACCGGGGTGTGGCCAGACTTTCCCCGGTCCCGGGTGCGTTTCCCTGTGGTGGGTGACATTCGCGGGTGTAAACTCCGTCTTTCCCGCACTGTGAACAAAATCGTCGTGGCGGCCGGCGGCAGTCGTAACGGGTGTGTCCCTGCTGCTTACATCGCCAGCAACATTCATCTTTATTGTAGGCGGCGGCGACGACGTTCGTTGCTGTGGTCTTCGCGGTTGCTCGCCGTGTCCGGCATTGCTCCTCGATTTCTTTAAATTCATCCGCCTGTCGTAGCAGGTTGCTCGTGGTCCGCAGCGTCTCCTGTCGGATGAACATTTTGTATCGCGGATGCAGGTTCTCGTAGTATGTGTCGAGTTGCTCCTTCGCGGTGAACTCTCCGGCCCGTCGCATCATTGTGCCTAAGTCGACCATAAAGTGCCGAAAGTTTTCGTCTTCCCGTTGCACGCGGTTTTGAATATCACGCACGAGCTGGCTGCGGTACCGGCGGGGAAAGTAAAACTCGCGGAACGCCCGTTCGAAGTCTTGCCATACGGTCCACGCGGTTTTGTTGTTTCGGTGCCATAAGAGTGCATTCCCTTTCAGGAGTTCCGGTACATCGCGTAGAATCTGCGCATCGGTATACACGTATTCCTCTTTTAATTCGGTTACCCTCTCGAGAAACGCGACCGGGTCCCTCCCGTCGAAATGTATAAGGCCCCATTTGCGCATCTGGTTTATTATTTTGGTAATCGGCTCCGTACTTGCTTCTATCGCCGGGGTGTTTTCGGTCGTTACGGTGTGATTTGCGGCGGCTGCGGGGGCGGTCGCGTTACCAATGAATTTCTCGGGATGTTGCGAGACGTACTGGCTTAGGCGCCGGCGCATGTCGATGGTCCCATCGTTATCGAGGCCCAGGGCGTCGAGCTCGATGAGTAGGTCGGCTTTCGCCAGTTTGTAAATCCATTCTTTCGTCATGTCTTATCGTTCGTGTCCTCGGTCGGCGTTTTAAAACGGTCCCTGTTCGGGCGCCATGAAACGACTCCCCGTTATGGTGTTTAGCAAACCGGACGAGCTCGCCGGACCAGAGTTCGCGTGGAAGTCAAGGCACGATTTACTTTGGACGACAATTTGTACAAAACAATAGATTTATTACAAGTTATGCGTTGATGGTATTTACAAGGCGGTATATACAAGTGATCGCGTATGCGGTAGCGACGATCGCGCAGCGCGACGCGTGCGCGGTACGGGCGCGGCCGTGAGCGGTTTAAAGGCCCGCGTGTTTATTTCGGCGTCGTGAATACGGGCTGTTTAAATGGCCTACGTGTCGCGGCGCAAGTACGGGCCGTATGAATGGCCTATCGGCGCGTCGGTATCGCGGCGTAAACACGGATCGTATCGGGCTCGGTTCGGCGCGGGTGATCGGCGGCTTTTCTCGATGTGAGATCCCGTGGATGGTTTTTACGGTTGGCGATGCGATCGTGCCGGATGCCGGTAAGAACGGGGGCGAGTCACTCCTCACCTCCTTCTCAGTCCGGGCACACCGGGGTGTCCTGGATCCGATGCACCGGTGGACAGCGGTAAAGCCCGCTGGGGGTGAGTAACACCTCACCTCGCTGTATCCACCGGGATCGGGTTAAGGATTGCGAAAGGCTGCGGTCTTCTAAAGCGGAGCCGAGAACACTCGGCAGAGGCAAGTCACTCCTCACCTCGGATCAGCGCTATCGAGAGCAGGCTTTTGCGGATAGGATTCTTAGAGCTGGCTTCGTTTCAGATCGGAACTATAGACATAGTATATATAGACTGCGCATTGTGGCTGCAGACATTTGCACACTTGAGAAAGAGACAACATGCTTACGTAGTAGCTCTTTCTCTGTTTATCTATCGTTCCTTTACTCTTTTGTTTACCCCCACTACTTCATTTCGACAAAGATAAAGACACTGCGAACACCAGCTATCTCGTTCTAAAGTTGGCACATGTTTTCACGCGAGTGAAGTAGGGAACGCGCAGTCTATATATACTATGCCTATGATCGGAACTAGGCGGGCGGCGGAATCTGCCTTTTTGGCTCTGGACCCGTCTTTTATACCCGTCTACCCCCAATTGTTATTACAATTAAGTAAAAATCGGTCGGTGGGGGTAGACGGGTGCCGGGGTAGCGTGTATGTGCGCGTGCGCGGCGTGGATCCGCGTGACAGCAGTCCTCGTGTGTTCCACGATGTAAAAAGAAAGGTGTAACAACATCGTGTATGCGCAGTTGGGTCCATGTGCATTTGGACCCAAATTTCATTGGCTCGCTCATCGTGCGCCGCCGCTATGCGCAATGATACACTTTTCTTGCAGTAGTCCATGTGCATTTGGACCCAAATTTCATTGGCTCGCTCATCGTGCGCCGCCGCTATGCGCAATGATACACTTTTCTTGCAGTAGTCCATGTGCATTTGGACCCAAATTTCATTGGCTCGCTCATCGTGCCGCCGCCGCTATGCGCAATGATACACCTTTCTTTTTACATCATGGTGTGTTCGGTTCGTTTCAGTCGTTCCCACCGGCGATTGTTTCGCCGAGCGGGCGCTCGCTGCGTGCGTTTATCGGTGGGCGCCTCGCGCCCACCCTTCGCCTGACGGTCGGCGGCATCCGGATCTTTGCTGGGAACGATACGTAATTCCGGGCGTATCGTTACAAAGTGTTACGTGCATTTGCGTAATCTATTGATCTTATAATTTTAACCCCTTCTCCCTTTGCCCCTTTCTCTCGATATCATGAAATTAACATTTTTGTACACTATTCAGAGTTAGATATTCATATCAACTTGATTCTCTCAATTATGAGTATTTTGTAAATAAATGAGCAACATGTACTAATTTCTAGAAAACTTTATTGTAGAATTGAGAACAAAAAAGGCAAGAATAAAGTGGCATGTTCTAATTTAAGTCTAATTTTCCTGCCGTAGGATTATGAAGCGAAGCATTTTTCAAGATCTGCGTGGCATTTTTTAAGATGTTGTTGAAATTACCCTTGGTATCATCGTCTTTTTGGAATTGTATGAGTATTACGAGATACGTCGTAACGGCACCAGCGATCTGAAAAATTACATGTTTTTATATTTATTTGTATCTTTTAAAATTAGGGCAGTATGTAGAAAAAATATAAATTTCCTACTGAAGTTACGAGAGTTCGATCTAAAGTAAAAAGTCCACACGCTGAAAATTCTAAAGGACGATGTAGAAGCTGAAGCGAAAAAATCTCAAGTTGTTTCCTGCCTTCTCTGTCGGGACTCATCGATAATAATTGACTGACCAAAACTGCTGTTTTTTTTCCCTGCAAAATAGCATAAATTATGCACTAACTCGTCGTATAACATATGCAATAAAATTATGAAATAATAGTTAGAAGGTCACATGTGCTGAAGACATATCAAACAATCAAATATTCAAGAAATAGGAAGTATCTATCAACTTCTCAGTTAAACTTTTGTTTTAAGTTTTACCTCACAAATTATAATTCTCGTTAGTTAATTAAATAATTAATTAAAATTAATTAATTGACCTGTGTTATAGCAGCGTATGTAGGTTGCACGATCATCAGTAACCTCCAGATATGAAAGATACACCATAATCCTTGTACCGCGAGGAATAGTGGCTCACGTCTTCCGTCGGCCTCCATTATCAAAAAGTACGGCGTAATGATTAAGTGTATTAGACAGGTGATAGTAATTACCAGCGTAACGACTCCATAAGCAGCGTTTATGAGCATCACCGTATCACATAATGACCCATGTACTGTCATCAATTGTGCTATACTGTGTGTGAAGTTTTTACCATCTACAAAAATATTAACTTTAATTACTTAAGATTTATCCAAACAAACTTGTACAGATGCATAAGCATATGCATAAAGAAATTGATTGGTCTATTGCCTTATGCGTGCATTTATAGCCCTGCCCTGTATTAGTATTTAGCATAATATAACATCATGTGTGTTATATTATATTTATATTGATTTTATGTAACTGTTACTTTGGTGTTTGCTGCGTTGGAACAGCCTTTATACGATTCTTAATATTTTTCTTAAATAGTCATTTACTAGTGATTGTCCAGCGACTGGTGCAGCTACCCTATGTGGAATTTATTTTGCTTTTACAGTTTTCAAAAGAGCTAAAAAATAAAGTATGAAAATATTTCTAGATTTCTGTATATTATGGAATCATACCATTTGTAATAGAAGAATCCATAATCTTCGTCTTTCGAAATATTCGGACGTTTTCCATGTCTTGTCGAATATTTGTAGCTAGTTGTCCTTGATCACGAAAATCACTGGCTAAAAAGTTTATATCATTTTAAACATATGTTAGAGAGAAAGGGGGGAGAAGAAAGAGGAAGAAGGAAGGGTAGGGAAGAGGAGGGAAAGGTGAGGAGAAGAAGAGGGAAAGAATCGAAGAAAAAGGAAATGATTAAGGGGTGATGATTAAGTGGTCTTCCTAGTGTGACGACTCAAAATCATCAAATTTTTGCATAATCTTAAAGTTTAAGGCTCCTGGGTTGTCACTGCGGCCATATTGAATTTTGACGTCAGAAGCAGAGAGAAGCCTGAGAGATGTCACGGCCCCGTTTTTCGTGATTGGCGAATGCGATACGCCCTCTGTGGACATTGAAAACGTGGACATTGAACTACGTAGCCAATATCCACATTTTGCTAAGTAGGTAACGCAGATTTGCACAATTTTAGCCCCGTCCCGCGCTATGGTTAGATCCCATGCAATGATTTTGTACTTAAAATAATCTTAAGTACAAGAGCATCGCACAGGATCTGACTATAGCACGAAACGCAACCAAAATTTCGCAAATCTGCGTTACCCACTTGGCAAAATGTGGATATTGGCTACGTAGTTCAATGTCCACGTTTTCAATGTCCACAGAGGGCGTATCGCATTCGCCAATCACGAAAAACGGGGCCGTGACATCTCTCAGGCTTCTCTCTGTCAGAAGCGAGAAATGACACTAAGAATTCTTGCGTGGCATTTCCAAATAAAAAGATATTCGACCAAAAGTACACTAGTCCGTTTTAGCACACTTCCAAAAGACTCCGTAAACTATTCTTTTCCCTTGGCAGCTAATAAACAACTCTACAGTAAACGTCAAAGTTAGCTTAATTATGCAGGAAAACACATGATTTGACACTGCCAAAAAGAGTGGAAAATGTCTTTCTACGATTAGAATTCCTCGCTAATCTTAGTTTTCGGAGCTTTTTAGAGGTTTCACGAATAGGTCACACGTAACAGAAC